ATAATATAATCATATAATCATATAATCATATAATCATATAATCATATTATATTTATATTATAATGTAATACAATATAATAATAATAATCGCCTGTACTTTGCTTATAATATAATATAATCTAATATAATATAAACATATAATATTTATATTATAATGTAATACAATATAATAATAATACAATATAATTCTATAATTTATATAAAATGTAATATTACTAATATTACAATATAATGGTATAGTACAATATAGTAATATATAATACTGATATTGTACTATGCTAATAATATAATATAGTGTATGTATGTATGTATGTATGTATCTGTCTGTCTGTCTGTCTGTCTGTCTATCTGTCTATCTATCTATCTATCTATCTATCTATCTATCTATCTATCTATCTATCTATCTATCTATCTATCTATCTATCTATCTATCTATCTATCTATCTATCTATCTTGTAAGCCGCTCTGAGTCCCCTTCAGGGTGAGAAGGGCGGCATATAAATGTCGCAAATAAAAGAAAAGAAAATAGTGCTATAAGTAGGGCTTCACTGATGGTCTACACCAGTCAAATTACCTCCGTGATGGGAAATGGATAAGTCAATAGATCGAGTTGAGAAAGTTCGCTGGAGAAAAACCTGGATTCCTTCTCTAAAGGGATTTCGAGATCAAAGAGGATTGTTGGGGGTTGAATCCCAGCACTTATGGGAGCGATGGGAGGGGTGAGGGAGATATAGATTTGGGAACAGATGAGGTGACAAGACCATTATGCTTTGGAATAAAAGAAGAAAGTAAAGAAAGCCAAGCGACCTGTACTCCGAACCTTATTCTAAAACAAACAACCCCTCCCCTTAAAAATCCCTCTTCTTGCTCATTTGTGCCGCAATATCCAGATGTAAATAGAGTCCCACTTAGCGTGGATCCTAACCTCTTTGACCTAAACTATAAAGAACTGGTCAGTGGATGTAGGCCTTTAAGCTAGGGCTTCTTAAACTGTGGTCTTGACCTCAAACCGGGCGACTTGAGCTCAAATTCGCAACGACTTGCAGTGTTTACAGCGGACTCCGCAGAAAATGCTTCAATATCAGCCTGGTTAGCAAGCCTGCCAAATGCGAACGTGTTATACTAGTCAAAAGAAATGTTGGGGTCTCAAATATTCGTCCTGTTCCTGGGTATATTTGTCCTGCTGAGTCCAGAAATGGCACCAGTTTTCCCCTCTCTGCCCTAGATTTTGAGAAACGGGACCCCATATCGAAGAAACTAGAGCTGATGCCGTCTATCCTATGCAATGTCCCAAGTAACAGGAACAGGCCAAAAGCACAAGAAAGCAAGAGATAGAGATAGGGATAGGGATAGGGATAGGGATAGGGATAGGGATAGGGATAGGGATAGGGATAGGGATAGGGATAGGGATAGGGACAGGGACAGGGACAGGGACAGGGACAGGGACAGGGATGGGACAGAGATAGATAGATAGATAGATAGATAGATAGATAGATAGATAGATAGATAGATAGATAGATAGATAGATAGATAGATAGATAAAGATAGACACACATATACACTCCTGTTGGGCTGATTTATCAATAAATGTTTACTTTTTATACCTATATTATATGCCTATATAACTTACTATCATTACTATGATAGTAAGTTCCCAATAAAATACAGTCTGCCCCTTAAACTGTATTTCCTTGGGAACTTACTAACATAGTAAAGAAATACAGTTTAATGGGCAGACTTATTATTATAATAATAATTTAATAATAATAATTTTAATAATGTTTATAATAATTTTAATAATGTTAATAATAATAAGTCTATAATAATATTTTAATAGTAATAATTTTAATAATGTTTCTAATAATTATAATAATGTAAATAATAATAAGTCTATAATAATAAGAATAATTTTAATAATGTTTCTAATAATTATAATAATGTTAATAATAATAGTCTATAATAATAATAATTTTAATAATAATGATTTTAATAATGTTTATAATAATGCTAATAATAATAATAATAATAATAATAATAATAATAATAGTTGCAATCCCAAGTGACAGCAGGACTGAAGAGAAACAAGCTGACAGGATATGAGGATTTCAAGATCAAGCTGCAAAGACTCTGGCACAAGCCAGGCAAGGTGGTCCCAGTGGTGATCGGCACACTGGGTGCAGTGCCTAAAGACCTTGGCCTGCACTTAAACACAATCGGCGCTGACAAAATTACCATCTGCCAGCTGCAGAAGGCCACCTTACTGGGATCTGCATGCATTATTCGCCGATACATCACACAGTCCTAGACACTTGGGAAGTGTCCGACGTGTGATCCAATACAACAGCCAGCAGAGTGACCTTGTCTGCTGTGGACTCATCTTGTTGTGTTTCAAATAATAATAATAATAATAATAATAATAATAATAATAATAATAAAATTTCGAAAATACATCACACAGTCCTAGACGCTTGGGAAGTGTTCGACTTGTGATTTTGTGATACGAAATCCAGCATAGAGATCTCGTTTGTTGTGACATACTGTGCTTTTGTGTCAATAATAATAATAATAATAATAATTCAACCTATTATTATCTTTATTTCTATCCCACCTCCCCCCCCCCCAACAAGGACTCAAGGCGGTTAACAAACAAACACACCTAATAAAAGTATCTGACGAATAATAGTAATAATAATAAATTAAAATTATTATTTGATACATAACACGATTAGCACACAGCAAACAAGATCACTATGCTGGCTTTTGTATTTGATCACACGTAGGACACTTCCTAAGTGTCTAGGACTGTGTGATCAGGGCTGTAGCCAAGGGGGGGGGGGTGTTAGGGGTTCAAACCCACCCCCGATTTTTTCAGGTTAAAATGGATTTAATTAAGTCTAAATAAAATATAGAATTACTATTTAAATTATTTTGTGTTATGGAACTACTCATGATTCGCTAAAAAAAAATTCACCCCCCCCCCACCCCCCGAATATTTTTTCTGGCTAGGGTCCTGTGTGTGATGCATAGGCAGATCCGAGTAGGGTGGCCTTTTGCAGCTGACAGATTATTATTATTATTATTATTATTATTATTATTCTCATTATCTTTATTTCTGTCCTGACTATCTGCCCATGAAGACTCAAGACTGCTAACAAACACACTCAATACAATTTTTAATGCGGTGGATAGAAAAAGGATCTGACTTATAATAGAAAATAATAATAATAAAAATGTAAAAAGATATGATTATCTCTAAGTCTATCTCACCTTTTTCCTATAATAGTAATATTAATAAGTTAAAATTATTGCCATTATTATTATTATCTTTATTTCTACCTTGCCTTTCTCCCAGTGTTACAATTATTATTATTATTATTATTATTATTATTATTATTATTATTATTATTAATTTCTATCTCACCTTTCTCCCCATAATAGTAATGATAGTAAGTTAAAATAATAATAATAATAATCTTTATTTCTATCTTGCCTTTCTCTCCATAATAATAATAAGTTATTATTATTATTATTATTATTATTATTATCATTATTATTTCTATCTTGCCTTTCTCCCCATAAGGACTCAAGGCAGTTAAGAAAAAAAAACCCAATAAAATATTAAAATTAGTCCAATAGAAATAGAATCTGACTTACAATAATAACAAGTCATAACATTATTATTATTATTCCTGCTGTTATTAGTAGTATTTGTATTAGTATGACCTTTTATTTCTGTCCCACCTTTCTCTCCATAAGGACTCAAGGCGGCTAAGAATCAAACACACCCAACAAAATATTAAAGGATAGGAAAAGTCTCTGACATGATAGTGACCATAATAGTAAGTTGAACTATATTGTTGATGTTGTTAGATGTTTAAGATCTAAGATGTTATGAGATGTTTATTGATGTTATTAGATGTTTAAGATCAAGGGGTGCTGTGGTTTTGAACTTCCTTGATGGATTTAAACTGTGATTTTTTAGTGCTAATTCTATTTTAATGTTTGCCTTTTTGTAGATTGTATAAGAATGCTTTCATATCAAGCCGCTTCGAGTCCTCTTTGGGGAGATAAAGCGGGGTATCAATAATAATAAATATTCTTATTATAAGCATCTTTATTTCTATCCCGCCTTTCTCCCCATAAGAGCAGAAGTGGGCTAAGAAACAAAGGCAGCCAATAAAATATTAACATGAGTAGGAGAGAAAAAAATTATTATTATTTTAAAATATTAACAAGAGTCAGAGAGAAAAAGGATCTGAATAATAATAATATTAATATTATTATTAGTCAGATCCTTTTACTCTCCGACTCATGTTAATATTTTAAAATAATAATAATAATAATATTAATAATAATAATATTTTAAAATAATATTTTTTCTCTCCTACTCAAGTTATTATTTTTATTATATTATTATTTCAATAATTTTAGTATTTCAATATTTCAAAATATTAACATGAGTTGGAGAGAAAAAGGATCTGACTAATAATAATATTATTATTAGTCAGATCCTTTTTCTCTCCAACTCATGTTAATATTTTGAAATATTGAAATACTAAAATTATTGAAATAATAATAAATATAAATATTAAAATAATAATACATACAAATAAAATAATATTTTTAAATAATAACAATAACAAGAAATAATAATAATATTTCTTGTTACTGTTATTATTATTTAAAATTATTATTTTATTTTTATTTATGATTATTTCAATTTATATGATTATTATTTCTTGTTATTGTTACTATTGAAAATTATTATTTTATTTTTTATTTATCATGATTATTTCAATTTATATTATTATTATTATTAGTCAGATCCTTTTTCTCTCCGACTCATGTTAATATTTTAAAATAATAATAACAATTTAAAATAATAAAAATAACAATAAATAATAATATATTATTATTAGAGTTTTTTGTAAATAATAATAATAAGATGATGATGATGATGATGATGATGCTGAAGATGATGTTTTTTCTCCGGGACTTACTGTCGGGGCTGGCGCATCCGAGGAAGGCGGCTTGGGCCCTCCGGTACCAATCGGCGGCGGCGGGGATGGGGAAGGCGGGGTGGAGCCCGATCCCGAGGCGGGAGGCCTGGCACTGGCAGCAGGCGAGGGCGCAATGCCCGCTCCCCCCCGCCAGGCCCCCTCCTCGGGGCTCGTCCTCCTCCTCTTCCTCCTCCAAAGCCTTGGGGTCTTCTTTGGCGCCCAGCAGGTTGGCGATGAAGAAGGAGGAGACGCGGGCGCTCTCCGTGGCTTCGTCCGGCATCCTCGAAGCGGGCTGCGGTGGCTGAGGGTGCTCCTCCCGCGCTGCCTCCCCGGGCGGGCGAGGGACGGCCGTCTTCACGGGGCGCTCATTCCCCGCCGCGCTCTTGCCATGCATTGCCTGCTAAGGCAGCACCCAAGGAAGGAACACACCGCCCCCCACCCTCCTCCCTTTCGCCCCGTCGCTCCTCGACAGCTTTTTTTTAATGTAGGTCAAACGGGGAGCCAATGGCAAGGCAGCGAGGGAGACTCTCCGCCCGCCCCAACTGGAGGAAGGCGGGCGGAGCTCCTATTGGTCAAGCCAGCGCGAGCGGGCAGGCGAAACAGCCAATGCGACATTCCGCCCTTCCCTCTTTCTACCCTTATTGAAATACCTTATTTGGGCATATCCCCTCCCCCCTCTAGGATGCGATGGAGGCGTCCGCTTCTCTGTCAGTCACTCGCTTGAGAGGGAAGGAACCTAGAAAGGACAGGCGCAGGGGGAGCTTCACTTCGATGAGGATTCAGCGACTGAGCTAGCTGCCACCGGGTTGATTATGGACCCATTATTGGGAATTTATTTATTTCTCGTGTCAGGGCAGCCAGTCAGTTATATTACATTTCTAACAGAACAAAGCAAACAAAC